ATCTGTATATAATAATCATGTTCACATATAATGCTTCCTAAATGAATTTTGCTCTTAAATAATTTGGCTTGCTGTTTACTCCCTTTTGTAATTTTTAATCTAAGAAAATTTAAGTCTAAATTTAAAAATTAACACATTTAAAGCTTTATCTTTGTGCAATCTGAGTATTTGTGAGATATCATGATGGTGTAATTTGTCTTAGTTGATAATCAGGACTTTTGAAGTCATCATTTCTGGACTTGGTAAGTGAATTTCTCAGATCTATTGCTCTAGAAAGATTAGATGGCCAAAGGAACATTTTGTATTGTTTCCTGGTTACTAGTCTGATTATACTGTGTGTGCTAATAATATACTCTATTCTTTTTGTTATAGATTGTCTTACTGGTAGATCAAGAAATAAAAAAGATTAAATAATTTAAATTCTTAAATGAATCCGTTTTTCTTCCCTTTGTCCTTCCCTCCCCCACCCTCTCCACCCCCCTTCTCTGAACTCTGGAATCTCCGAATCTGGTGGGCAAGATGAAAATCACAAGTGAATTATGGAATTCGTGTTTAGAAAGAGTCGTGTGTGTGTTTTCAGTGGTTTCCAAGTCAGCTTGTCAAAGAATGAATCTGAAAACTTTGCTTAAAGGGTAATTGAGATATAGCAGGTCTGTTCACAGGGTAGAGGAAGGAAGGGTTAAATCAGAAGCCTGGCATTTCCTTTTTATTGAAGACTGGTTCTCTGGCTTTGGAACTTTCCCAGACTTAACAGGGAAATATTATTTCTGGTCAGCATACTCACCTTGGTTAAACTTAATTGCCACTTAGATATTGAGGTCTGTTTTTATATTTTGCATATGTAAAGTTTTATGAGTGACTTAATTAAGTTGTACTCATTAGTATATTGGTATTTCTTTATGTCCAATGAGTTGGAGATGCGTTGTATTCTAGATTACCCTTTAGTTTGCACAGTAATCCTTTCCATCAGCTTACTGGAGTGGAACCTTTAGAGTTACAACCGAATACAACTAAAAATGTTCCTTAGTTGCCCTGGCCAGTGATGCTCAGTTGAGTGTCCTCCCATATGCTAAAAGGTCTGGTTTGATTCCCTATCTGGGCACATGCTGGGGTTCTATTCGAGGGTGTGCAAGAGGCAGTTGATCAATATTTTTCTCTTACATTGATGTTCCTCTCCCTCTCTAAAATCAGTAAAAGCAAACATTTAAATATATTTTTATTGATTTCATACAGGAAGAGAGGGAAAGAGGGACAGAAACATCAATAATGAGAGGGAATCGTTGATCAGCTGTCTCCTGCAGACCCCACACTGTGGAGTAAGCCCACATCCAGGGCATGTGCCTTGACTGGGAATTGAACCTCAACCTCCTGGTTCATAGGTCAGTGCTCAGCCACTGAACCACACCAGCTATAGAACAAATGTGTGTGTGTGTGTATATATATATATATATATATATATATATATATATATATATATATAGAGAGAGAGAGAGAGAGAGAGAGAGAGAGAGGTAGTTATAGATATATATGTATATTTTTTAATGTTTCTAGGTGGACTGTACTGGTTATAGTTTAATTCTCCTCTAAAACATGGCTGGTATAGAATTGGTTCCTCTTTTTAATGATTCAAATACCAACATTTTAAAATGGAAGTAGCATGATGTCGGTTTTCTTAATGCTACAGTATCTCCAACCACAAAGTAATTGCTGATCCCTTTTTTGTAAAACAACCTTGAGAAGCAATGGCTAGATCACCATTTAATATGTCCCCCAAGGTAGCTATCATAATAGTTATTAGTAAAGGCTATAAATAGAATTTAAAAGGGGAAATCATAATCTCTCTTCTTACTCTGTGGAACTTATCTTTGTGATTTTAAAAGTCACCACTAGATGGAGAGCTTTTTTGTCATCTTGGTTAATCTCCAAGTGAATTACAGTTGATTCTCATTCACAGATACTGTTTGTGAATGTTGTGTATTTGCCGACTTGATAAAATTTATTTGTAACCCAGAATCAATACTTGCACCCTTCACAGTTATTTGCAGGTATACACAGCAAAAAGCAAGTCTCCCTGCATGCTCCCAACTCAGGTTGAACGAGTGATGCTCTGCTTTTGGTTTGCCATCATACTGTTATTGGGTGTCTTTTTCGTGCTCTCGGGTATTTAGTGCCCCTCTTCTGCAAATTTGTGCTTTCTATTGGTGATTTCGCTATTTAAAATGCCCCTGAATGTAGTGCTGGCTAGCGTTCCTAAATGCAAGAAGGATGTGTGGTGTGCCTTTGGAGAAAATAAATGTATTAAGTAAGCTTCTTTCAGGCATGAGTTACATACAGTGCTGTTGGCCACAAGTTTAGTGTTAATGAACCAACAGTACTATTAAGGTTTCTTTGACACACTTAACACGTAAAGCAAGATTATGTATTGATTGGTTGTCAAAATAACCAGAGGCTCACAGGAACCCAAACCCTCATTTCCTCTAGGAGCAAACGGTTCTGTGTCCATTAATTCAGTGCCTGTGGTGACTCTGTAGACCATGAAACTAGCCCAAATAAGAGAATCGACTGTACTTTTTACAATCTTCAAACTCAAATGTCCTCCGACTTTCAGGAAGGGTACAGTGGACTAATTCCTCCAAACGCCTTTTCTGCGGCAACTCACAGCTGTAGAGTTCCCTTTCGCTTTTTAGTTTGCCGTCAGCAGTAATGAAAACAACTTTTTACCTAGAGACGGGAGAGGGAGTGTTTGTGTCACAGGAAGCTGAACTATGGTCCAAAATGAGCATGTTACAAGAACTTGGAAATTCTAAGGAGAGTCTTTTCTGCTGTTTTTGACAAATTGGCAATGTCTTAATTTTGTTATTAGTGCAAATATAATGGAATGTTTAGCATAAGGGAATAGTTAGGTACCTGGGTGTTTTACACATGGCGGTCAAATTCCGTTCTCTGTAAAGTACACCAGGCTTTGTGGCACAGGCCACTGGAACCCAGCGCATCGTCTAGAAAGGCTGGGCTGGAGCTGCAGCTTACTTTCCAACGCTCTGCCCTTTGCAAGTCCCAGGCCGCCGTGCTGCTCTTGCAAGGTCTTTGCCTGAATATTTCTCTCTCTCCTGAGTTAATTACCTAGTCCCTCCTTCAAAGGGAATTATCGGCCCAAAGTAGGCAAGCAGTTCAAGAAGTGGGAAGCCCTAGGCTGCAAAAGTCTCTGCATTAAATTAAGGTTCCTCTAAGAGTTGTTTTCTTTAAGCTAATGCAGCTTCATAAGTTGGGCAAGATTCTTGAGCTTCTGTATTCCAGTAGAAAGAGCACTTTGGAAATTGAGATTTAAATCATTGAGTTGTGTGATTTTTGTTAATCTCAGCATAATTTTTCCTTTGCTGTACATCGGAAGCAGGAGATCCTATCTATGTTTGGGAGGATTGGAAACCTTGTGTGTTCATTCTCACACGGTAAGAGCTCAGCGAATGGGCATGTTGGAGACCAGGTTCAGGGGCACTGTGCTGTGGGGCAGAACTCCCTTCCATTTGCTTTTTTGGGCTGTCTGGACAATTGCAGAAGTCTTTGATTACTTTTTTAGTCTTGACCTTGTACCTTTAGTGATAACTTTTTTCTACCTCTCCTCCCTCCCCGTCTCCCTCCCTGTTACACTTGTACTGTATTTGAGCTCTTCTGTTTATCTGAGAGTTGACCTGATAGAACCAGTTTTTTTTTGTTGACTAAGTGGTTACTCTATAGCAGTGGTTGGCAAACTGCGGCTCACAAGCCTCATGCAACTCTTTGGCCCCTTGAGTGTGGCTCTCCCACAAAATACAATGGCCTGGGTGAGTCTATTTTGAAGAAGTAGCATTAGGCGTTTAAAAAATTTGGCTCTCAAAAGAAATTTCAATTGTTGTACTGTTGATATTTGGCTCTGTTGACTAATGAGTTTGCTGATCACTGCCCTATAGTATGAACACTTTCCTCATTTGTTTTCAGTCCTGAATTACGGACTAAGGAACAGCTTCCTAATACAGGTGTTTCAAGCATCAGCAAGTCAGGAGAGAGAAGGGAGAAGAGACTGAGAATCCTCAAAATACCCACTTGTGAGGGAGGTATGGGAACTTTAGATTGATTACTTTTTGAGAAAATAGCTGAGAAGGGCTTCTGGCATGCCAGAGCTCACCAGGTGGCCCCTGCTGCTCTTGGGAAACACTGGTGGGTGAGCTGTGCTAGGCCCTGGCTTTCTCCAGTCTCAGTCCAGGCTCATGAACCTGCTGGACGCCTTCCTATGCTGCCTTCAAGATCCCCCCCACCCCGCCGCCACCCCTCCCCTTTCCCCCCGTGTCCCTTCAATAAAATCCCTCCTGTGTTGGATGCTCTTTTGTCATACTTGTTATTTCCATTGATATTTAGTCTTTAGATTAAAACATCTCTTTCCTGATATTCTGAGCAAATCCCTGTTATTTTTACCTCCTGTATACCACTTCACAGAAATTACTTTAGAGGACCGGTCAGTGGTGATTCCTCAGGTTGGGCCACAGTGACTGGAATATAAGTGGAAAGTGTGAGGTCTACTTGTAACTATTTGAGTTAGTTTTAGATTTGTTTGCTTGTGGTAAGTCAGAAGTTTTGTCTGGATTAGAAGTTATCCTCATAGATACAATAAGGATCTGGAGGTCAGTTAGTTGTCCACTTGATGTCCTTTTATTTTATTTGTAACAATCTCTTCTGGGATTAAGGCTTCCATACCCTTCAAGCCTGACCTCGGATTCATCCAGATTTCCCAGTGGGCTCAGGAGGTGGTCTGCGGAGCCAGGACAGTCAGTCCACTCGAGGAGCGGTGCGCCAGGAAGGCAGGCCAGGCTCCCACTTTGGCTCTTTGAGGACCGCCCCAATGCCCTACCTGCTCTCTGAGCTCAGGACCCAGGGCCTCCAGCTTGGGCCGGGACATGTGAGGGCGCAGAGGTCCGCACTCTAGTCCACCGTGGCTCCAGGTGGTGTTCTGCAGTTGGGCTCCTCCAGCCCTACCTTGTCAGGTTAGCCTGGCCGGAGTCCGGGGCTGCCTGTTCTGCTGGGCCACCGGCTACGACACTCTGCTCTCCGTGGGCCGCTATGCACCCCTCCACGGTCCTTAGGATGGCCTGGAGCCTCCGGTCCAGGGCGAGGAGGTGGGGCTCTGTGAGGATGGGGCTGAGCTGGTCTTCCAGCAGTGACTCCCGCATCACGTCACTGAGCCTGTAGTCAGCTTGGGCCAGCAGCTGCAGGTGCAAGAGCGTTTTCTTTTTTATCCTGGAAGGACACAGTCACAGGAAACATAAGTGTAAAGAAAATAACATCCTGAACTGACTTTCCCCACACAAAAAACTGTTGTAGTTGTTGATGTTCTGAGCCTCTCCCCCGATATTTTCTCAAGCACATTTTAATGAAAACCAGGTAAAAGGGACTGGATGAAAGAGGACCCGGTTTTTCACAGCCCCTCCCCAATTGCCTTTTGGTCAGAGGCCTCCTGAACTGTTTATACTATAGTAATTGTAATGCGGTGCTGAATCGTACACATCTGACATTGCTGAGAGAATCAGGAGTGATTTAAAGCTGCGAGAAGTTTCTAGTTGTGAAATGAGTTGGGCATCTCAGCTCTAGGTACTGCCCGCCTCCAAGTTGTTTCTTGGCAACTTTATTTCTCGGTGTGAGATTCTTGAATCAAGGGATGAAAATGGGGTAGGTGGAGCTCCTGTCGACTTGAGGGTTCTGATTTATTTTCATGTAGAAGTCTGCCTGGGACTCAGATGCAGCCTAACTGTCCAGCATTTGTCATAAACTGCTTGCCCTGTTCAGGAAGGGAGGCAGGAATAAAGAAAATTCCGGCTTTGTTCCTAGTCTTTCGGCTGGAAGTGAATGAGATGGTTTTTCTAGGTGTGAGTCCCATAGTTCTAATTAGCTCTAACTGCAGCTGAGCAGCTGGAAAAGCCTGCTGAGACCAGAGAGGACCAGAAGTAGGTTGAAGATTCTGCAGAGAAACGGTGGCCGGGGAAGGTGTCATGCTTCCTTTCCATCTGACACAGCATTCTATTCAGATGGTGGCCAATTAGTCATATTTATGAGCTTCTGTGAGTGCTGGGTGAAGCAGAGGTCTGATTACTCATATCAGAGACAGGCTGTGCCAAAGTGGGCTGAATATTAAAGTGGTGAGTGAAAGGTTTAAAAAAAGGTCCTAATTCATCCCATGCTGAAAGATGAAAGCTGCTGAGATGTCGGCAATTCCTGCCTGTCATTCCACCCACCCGTCCAGACCAATGGGAACTGAGCAAGAGCCTCAGAATGTGGTTGCGAGCAGGATCAAGTGTCGCAGTGGTGCCGTGCACTGAAAGCTCACCTGCAGCACTGGGAGAGTGGCGAGAGGATGGAGAGTTCGTCATGGGAGTGTCGCCCAAACCTAGGGGGAGGACCGGGATCTCGTGAGTGGCCAGCAGACCTCCCTCCTCACTGTGTTTTCTCTCTTGTCTGCCTCAGCCTTTCTTTTGAAAGCACAGTTTAGGGCTCATGGCAGCTGCCCCTCCAGCCCCTGTCCTCAATCAGGTCACAAAAGCCTTTGTCCAAGTGTCCAAAGATGTTAAACCCAAGCAATCCTTCACCTACTTACCAACTACTGAGGGCCAGACTCCGAGCATGAATCACGTGCTCTGCCTCTGGGAGGGAACCCCGAGGAAAACCTATGCACAGCTCCCATGTTTCACTAGTTCCCTCAGGGTAGAGGAGAAGCTGGCAAGGAGACGGGAACGGGACCGCAGAGCTTGGCAGCTGCCAGGGCTGCGGCTGTGGGGGAGGAGTGGGTGATACTTACCCTCTGGCATTGTCAAGATGAATAAGGAACCCATCATCCCCAAATTTGGTGAACATCTCATAATGGTGACGGTCCATATTTCCTGTAAAGGAAGGAGGGAGGCATTGGAGCGAGGGGTCAGGGGCAGCAATAGAGGCCTGTTAGCAGTTCAGACAAGAGCCTGACCTCAGGGCCACAGCTGTCATTTCCCCCGGGTGATTAGGGATGTTGCCGAGGGAGAAGGAAACAAGCCAACACACCCTAGTGTGGACTTTGCAAATCTAAGGCTTTCACTGTTTCCGCAAACGCTTGGGCCTAGGACTCAAATACTCTGCACCCATATTGGCTTTCCTTCCTCACCTGAGCTCCTCAGCACAGGCCCATTGGGAAGGCAGACACAGGTGAGTGAGCTGGGGCAGGTGCTGTAGGCCCTCAGCTCTGTGAACGGGTGTACTGGCCCCATTCATAATTCTTCCTCACCATTCCCATGGGACACCGCGGCCTTCCCGCTGCCACCCGTTCAATGTACACCCTCCTCTCTGCCCTGGTTTTGCCTTCCTTGGTCAAAGGGGTCAATCACTTCAAACCTGAGGCCCGCTTGGGCCTGGCTTGTAAGCTGACACCCTGCCTTTGGAGTGGCACTCCTTTCAGGAGGGGAACATGCTAACTTCTGAGGCCCTGAGCGATGTGGGTTAATCAGGCCACGTGGTCCAGGCTGCAACTGGTGCCAAGGTCAGGAACAATCCCAGACCAGCAGCAGAGCCCTGTGCCAGGAGCCCGGGAGAGGGGGGAGGGACCTACCGATCAGGAAGTCGAAGATGGCCATGTCGATAACGTTGAGCAGCTGGTCGCTGCTGTTGTACGGGTAGATCTGCTTCACTGTGTCACAGTACAGAGGATTGACCTCCCACCTGAGGGGGAGAACCAGTCCTGGGGCTGGAAAAGCCAAGATGGCAAGGTGTTGGGGGCCCTCCTCACACCTCTGCCCACCCCTCAACCCTTGCCTCCCCAGTCCTGCGTGTACATTTGGGTGGGCGCTAAGCAGACATGGGAGGTGCAGATTCCAAGTGGTGAGAAGGTTCTGGGTCCTTTTAGGACATGTCTCCTGAGCATCTGTTGTCCTGGGTGCCATGCTGATGGCTGGGGCAGCATGTGCCGGCGGGGAGATGGCGGGCAACAGGGGAATGCCTAGCTCCGTGTCCTTCCCTCAGCCCCTGTTCATCCAGCTAATATGAATTGCGTGCCTACTATGTGCTAGGGAGTGTGCTGAGCCCCAGGGATACACGATGGGTCCTTGGCTTCCCGGGCAGACCTGCGGGCTCCTCGTGTGCTGCTGTGTCACAGCGGGTGTGCGCTGTGTTTTCAGAACCTGGCTGTTTCTATGGCCACCGCTAGATAGCGGAGCTTCTGGAGGGGGAGCTGTGTCTCATTTCCGTATCCCCTAGCACCCAAAGCTGGGCAGACAGTAAGTAGTCTCTCTAACTGGATAAATGAACTAGGAGAGAGAATGGACTTGGGCCAGCTGGTCCCAGGATCTGTGATCTATATGAGATGAGATAAAGGAAGGCTGAGGTAGCTTTTGGGGCCCAAAAGCCGGGCTAGCCATAAGTCCTTCCTGTGGGACTGTGGTCACTCTCGGGCTAACGTGCATGGCCAGGGGGCCCACTCACTCCTCTTTTCCGGCCAGCGAGTAGGAGCGGATCCAGGGATTGGGCACAGACAGCCTGGGGGCCAGGTTGAGGGACGGCAGGAATGCGGAGAGAGAGCCCTCTAGCAGGTGGGGGTTGCCACAGACTGCATACTCGGTCTTGCACATGTATGGACACTTGGCGAAGAAGCACATGTTGCTGGCTGGAGGATGGGGAGAGAGGAGGAGAGAGAAGGGTTAGGGGGCAGACCATCTTCCTGTCCCCAGAGATCCACGGGAAGAAAGGGAACCCCTGAACTCAGCTGGGGGAAAGGCGGGAGGAGGAAGTACTGCCTTTTCCAGGTGGTGGGAGCTATTAAACCTGCACCCTGTCCATAGGAGCAGAGGGGTCTCTGCTGGGTAACTCCCGATTCCCGGGAGGCTGCACTGTAGTTGGGTGCCTGCCCAAGCTAGTAAGCACCTCAGGTATGACCTTTTCCCACCTACCCACCCCCACCTCTCCACCCCCGTTCCTCCTGTAAAGCTCCGGCAGACCAAGGTGGTGATGACCGTGGCTCCTTACTGGGATGGGTGTGTGCCCCTATGCTGAACGCACTGGTGGCCACACTGGCCTACTGTGTCCTTAGAAGATGGCTTTGGCCAGAACTCTACCTGGAGAGACGAAGAAAACGCTCTGCAGGATTTCATTCTTGGTGACCTCTAGGATTTCCTTGGTGACATTGACTAGCCTCCCCACTGTTGGTGGCACCCGCCGGAAGTCCAGGATCCTGAAAGAGAGGGGAGGGAACCCTGTTCAGATCGGAGTGATGGTTGGGGAGTCTGATGGTCGCCTGTTAGAAGTGGACTGGCATTCCCGGCCACACCCAGCCCCTGGGGTCTCTGCAGCCCTACTTCAGAAGGGCTAACCCTCCCCACCTGCTGTGTTCTAGGTCAGAGCTCATGTGTGTGTGTGTGTGTGTGTGTGTGTGTGTGTTTCCTGGGGTCTGGTTCCAGTGCAGCCTCTGATTCGGTGGGCCAGGCCGAGATGCTGAATTTCTAAAAAGCTCCCAGGGGGTGTCTGGCTTGCCAGTGTGCAGACTGCACTGAGAGTCACAAGGACTGGGCCAATAGGAGCTGAGACGTTCAGGAACGTGTTTTCACCTCTTAAAACCATGGCCTCAGGCTGCCCGGATAACTGGGAGTGGTGTATTCTCCTTTTCAGAATGGGAAACTAGAGCAAAGGGCAATGTCATGCCCAAGGTGGCGGCGTGACCCACCTGGCAGGGTTACTTTTCTAAGTTTTTCTGTTTCCTGCAACATGTTTTGTTTATCAACTTGGTGGGGGGTAAGGGGAAGACCTGCTGGGTCCAAAGGCATCACTGAAGGAAGACATTCCAGGGAAGCCCCCCCCCCCAGGGTCTGCCCAGCGCCCCCCCCCGTGAGCGTGGCCCCTGCCATCAGTGCCAGCTCCGCAGGGCCAGACCTACCTGTCCAGGTGGAAGGCTGCGATCTCGGCGTTGTGTCTCTGGAAGTCAATGAAGTAGAAGAAGTCCTCGGGCGTCTCTTCCTCTCGCTGCTGTCTGGAAAGAAGGAAGGAGTCGCCCTGGACATGGGCTGCGGCGGAGCCGGAGAAGACGGCTGACGAGCATGCCCGCAGGGGAAGGAAAAGGGCCTTTCGCTTTTCCTGTTCGCATAGGGGCTGCCTTAGCGCGGTTCTCAGGTTCTCTGCGCCCTGGGGCCCGGAACCATCCCACTGGACCTGAGGGTGAGACTCGGGCACCAAGTGATACCCAGAAGCCGGTCTGTTACAAACCCCTCCTTAAAGGGTGCTTTTGTCAAAGCAGTGCAGAGACTAGAACTGGGATTCTGTATTCAGTGCTCATTCCACGAGGCTCATCTACTGAGCCATTCACCCCATGGGCCTCTCAATTGGTTGGACATTTGGAACCCAAGTCCCTCTACTTGGGTTCCAGTGGAGGACGGCATTCTGGGGGGCATCACTGGGGCCATTGTCTCCTGTGCTTGTCACCTCCAGGGGGGACATAAACTTCAGAGTCCCCAGCCTGTGGGCTGCAGACCCTTGGGGGCCAGGAATCTATAGGTATACCAAGTCTGTAGACTGTGCACGTATTATTTCACCCACGTGCTACAAAGTCTTAAAGGCATATATTTGCCTTATAAATGAAATGAAATTGATTTAAGAATATAACTGACTTCACAGTAGCCTTTTTCATTTCCTAGTTTTTCAGTCAAAACAAATACTGTGTGGAGTTCTAGAACCATTTGGAGAGTCCAGGTGGGTGTGAATGACAGTAGGTAGGGTGTTTACAGTCTGGCTACCCAGGTTTGAATCCTGGCTTCCCTGTCTGCAGTGGGAGGTTGGGGCGAGCTGGCTTCTCCAAGCCTCCATGTTGTCATCTGTAAAGTGGGCAATTGATCAGTTCCTGGCTCATAAGGTTATTGACCCACAGACTACCATGTAATGTGGTAGCACAGATGCTAGTAATGACCTGATCAGGTCTACTCTTCCTTTTTAAAATTACCACCATGAGCAGTTCAGTGCATGGGCAGACTGCCTAAAGGACAGTCCACAGTGACTGGCTTGAAGACCTTTGGCCACTTTTACTAACTTTGGGTCAACACCCCGCAGAGCTGCCAAGGCTGGGTATGGAGGTGAGGAAGGCAGTCACTTACCTCATGGGTTTGAACATGGCCTTCCCAAAGTCCGAGAACCTCAGAACCAGCTTGAGGTGGACCCCACTGGGCTTCACAACTGTGAGGGGACAAGGGTGAGTTAGCCATGCTTCTGGGACGAAACTCAGGGCTGGTACCTTTGTCATTCAATAAACCCAACTGACTTCTTCTCTAAAGACTAGAATTTGCTTTGCAAAGCCTGCAGGGTACATTCCATCGCATCAGGCCATGGAGAGGGTGCCAGCAGCTCCAGACAATACCTTTTCTGCTGTTAGGGGAAAGGGGCAAACAATATAAGTTTCTCCAACAGACACAGCAGACCCCAAAGAATGTTCCCTAAGAACTGCTGCTGATTGTCCTTTGGCACCTTGTAGATTCCGATGATGCCCTCTGCTGACCTGCATTAGTGGATCAGCTTATCTGCGTATCTTCCATGTTAAGACCAAACGGGGCTGGGACGGCTGGGTGAGCAAGGCACCTGAGATAAGCTCGCACGACCCTGCCAGTGAGAGTTCCCTCCTCGTGTGTCCAGTCCTGGGCACGGCCCTCACTCACCCTATTCCCACCTGCTGTGAGCCCCAGTAGGGTCCAGACAATGTCTGTGCTCTCTGATATGGCAAATGGCTGGTGTTAAAGAAAAGGGAAGTCCTGAGCCCCACAAACCTCTCAAACCTTCAACATGTCCCAACACACATGGAAATGTCTGATGTGTGTTTGGTATATTGAGGTAAATGGATGAGGCTGCTTGTAGCCAGTGACTGGTCTGGAGCTTCGGTGTCCAGGCTTGGCCTGGCCACTCTGAGGCTGGGTAGGGTCCAGGTACATGTGTACCCAATTCGTGACCCCCTGGGAGGGGCCTGTGCTGCATCTCATGCCTGTCTCTGGTGCTATTAACCAGTGAGGAGTCTCAACCTCAGCTGCATTAGAATCACTAGGAACGGTTTTAAAACGCGGATACCCACACCTCGTCCTGTACAACCCAATGGAAACCTGGGGTCAAGGCCGGGCCTCTGCCTGTTCGGAGCACCCAGGGGACACTAATAAGTTACCAGGGTTGAGGACCCCTGTCCTGCACAACAGTCTGTTAAATCTGAAAGGCACGCCAATCCCGATGAAGCTGGTCCCCGGGTCACACTGACCAGCAGGGACCTATACACCAGCCCCTCTGAGAGGGATTTTCCGTCATGTGGGGGGTGGGAGAAATGCTGGCTTCTCAGGGACCAGGCAGAGTCTCGCCCCCTCAAGTCCCACCTAGGACCCCACAGAGGGGCGCCAGGTCCCAGGGTTCACAGGGTGCCGGGGAGGGCTGGGGGCAGGCAGGGCCAGCTCACTTACTCTGGGTGCAGTCACACGCCCCAAGCAAGGCTTTCTCGTCCTGGCTGTAATCTGGAGGAGGACAGGCAGAACGGTCAGCGTTGGTGGGGACACCAACAACACAGGGCCCTGGACTCACTAAAGGGGACACTGAGGCAGCCAGGGGCATCTCCCGGAGCCCCAGCTGGTTATAGTCTCGCCCAGCTCCATCCAGCCCCGTGCTCATGGCCCTTCCGTGGACAGGCCTCAGTGCCTGTCTGGGAAGCCGATGCTGGTTTTGTCTCTGCTACAGCCTGCTCTGTCAGGGAGACTGCCGTGCCTGACCGCACAGACCTGGACACAGCAGGCCTGTTGGAACCCAGCTCCAGCCCTGATCCCTGGCCGAGTTGTGCATCCTCTGAGTCTCAGTTCTCCACCAGTAAGATGGCAGGGAGGGTCCACACCCTAAGGTCACTGACAAGAGAGGGATGCGGGGTGGGAAGGGAGTGCTCGCTAAAGGGAGCCATCACGTTTCTTTAAGTAGATGGAACACCTCCTCATGTCTCCCCTGTGGGGTTGTGAGGAAAGGGAGAGCGAGAGCGAGGGAGGGAGGGAGAGAGGAGGGGTTTCTGTCCATCAGGAGTCTGAGACAGCCCTTTGCTATTGCACCCCACACCTGGGTGGTTAACCAGCCTCCCTCTGGGGGACACTCGGGCTCTGCCTGATCCTGGGAGCTCACCTGCACTGATGGTGGGGAAGTGCCTCATGTCGTGGAGCAGTTTGCTGACGACAGGACTCGACCGGGAGTACAGCCCGTGGCGGCTGATTCCCAGGTGGAACTGGACCCAGGTGGCCTCGAGGCGGAGCTGCACGGGGGGGTCCAGGGAGGTGAGGTTCAGCTGCTCTTTGTATATCTTGTGTCGCCTGAAAGAGCAGGGGAGTGGGTTTTGTTTAAGTAGGAGACACAACAGTGCAAAGACCCGCTGAAATTATCAACAGGAGCATTAAGCACCTACCACGGCGGGGGGGGGGGGGGGGGGGGGGCAAAATAGCCACACAGTCCTCTGCCCTCAGAGAGCTTACAATCTAGTGAGCCACGAAGCGGGCAAGCAAGTAACACAATACCATACACAATAGATGAACCGCTAACACAGCTGAAGGAAATGGGCTGGTGGTGGAAAGTGAAATTGGGGACCTGATAGAATCTGGGCACGAGGGAGGCGGTCCTGGCCTCTCTGTGCATGCTCCCATTAACTAGTCCCATCTTCTGTTTCCCAGCATTTTCCGACCTCAGTAGCCAGGAGACGGGAGAGAAGGGACCTGGTGGGAATGAAGACTAGAGGGGTGAGGGGCCTTACGCAGAGCCGGAGGCTGAGTTAGATTAACTGCTGCATCGTAAGGAAAAGGAGAACTAATGGTCCACTTACTGTTTGTCCTGCCAGGATAAAAAGAACAAGGTGAAAAGCCAGGCCCCTGCCACTGAGAGGCATAGAGTCTAGTTTGGGGGACAAGTTGTGTGTCTAGGACATGATCAGAGCAACATACAAGGCAGTGGTTTGGACGAACACGCCTTCAAGTTTTGAGGAAGGAGAGATGGCTGCGTGACAGGCAGTTGGGAAGATTGGGTGGAAGGGGCGGGCTTCGGCGGGATTCAGGGGGGGGGGGGCGGGTTTGGATGGAAGAGGAGCCGTGAGGGTGCTCTTGGATCAGGACCATCTGAGCACTGGGGGGACGGTGGGGGCAGCCAGGGACAGGCAGGTCTGGGGCTTAGAGAGGAAGCTGAGTCTGTCAGTGGTTGAGTAAAAGATGGAAGCCTTTTGGTTGGAAAGAAGGCCAATTAGCACGATGTCACCTGACTGGGTCTAGCTGCTGATGGGTCAGGGTTTGGGTGTTCCCACACATGTGATGCCACCCACCCCCCCAGGTCTGTGATGGAGTGAATGGCAAATCAAACATGGCTGATATTCTTAGAGTATTAAACATTCTTATTGGTCTAAAGTTTTTCAAATTTCCTCTATATCAAATGTAGAAGTGTTATGCAAAAGGAAGAAATATCCACAGTCATTTTTAAGATAAAACCCCAATTCTCAAAGAAAATTTCACTTGGTCACCCCTGGACTGCATCTCTGAGAATACAGACGCACTGGAGCAAAGAGCGTTTTGACTCTGCACTGCCCCCTAGTGGAAGTGTTGGGGAAGTGCTGAGTACCAATTTGGGTCACTGGGTTCAGGTCCAATATGCAACTGAGCTGTCCATCCCCCCACCCCCACCCCCATGTGAATAAAGTAACAGCATGGCCCTGACGGGCTTGGCTCAGTGGATAGAGCGTCAGCCTGCGGACTGAAGGGTCCCGGGTTCAGTTCCGGTCAAGGGCATGTACCTTGATTGCGGGCACATCCCCAGTGGGGGATGTGCAGGAGGCAGCTGACCAATGTTTCTCTCTCAGCGATGTTTCTAACCCTGTCCCTCTCCCTTCCTCTCTGTAAAAAAAAATAAATAATAATAATAATAATATATATATATATATATATATATATATATTATTTTAATAAAGTAACAGCATGACTGTCCTGGTGGGTTTCTGTCCTGGGAGAAAGGCAGCTTCCTGAGGAAGGCGCACAGGTTAGAAGGTGTTCACATCAGTGGGTGAATGGGCCCTGGCAGCCTTAGGTCCTGGCTTCTCTCAGCACCTGCTCCAGCCCCCTGCAGCCTCTCGGCATTTCTATAATACTAACATAGGGAAGTCCACCCCACCATCAATTTTGTTTTTTGCTAAAATTTTTGCATATTTCCTTTTATTATCGTGAATTCTGTGCCAAATAAAGTATCTAGTCACATAAAAGTGATTCAACATTGAGTCGTGGTTTTGTAAACATTTGGTTCTGTATTCATTCATTTTGATTTCAGAGTTTTCATTTGTGAGCCAACACCTTTTCTTTGCTCAGGTCTCAGAGCTTCTTAAATGCTGAGATTTCTCTCCCGAGAGAGTACATTCCTCTGCAGCCTTCCAGCTCGGGGTGGGGGGGTTGGGGTAACCGGTACACTTGCTTACACTGACACACCTTAAACTGCTTCAGAGCCAGGGCTTTCGCAAAGTCCAGGGAAAGGGCAAGTGGCTGACTTGGTCAGGAGGCCTCCTGCCAGATTTAAAAAAAACACACACTATATTGACATTTACTTTTATTTGGAAAAGTAGTCGGGCCAGGCTCCAGTTCCCAAGGCTACTGGGAGGCTAGGACTCTGGACTGTTGACCTCCCTGGGGAGTCTGATGGGAAGACTGGAAAGTCCTACGTTAGTCACTGGGACCAGAACCGCATAGAAGGGCGAGAGGAAGGGAACGGGCACAATGGGAGGCGGGCGGGAGGGCCGGAGCGTCCTTAAGTGGACCAACAGTCGAGGGGTTCCGGCTACGACAGCGCTGGGGTTACCACGTCCAAAACCAAACGGGGGAATTGGGGGCCCCTTCCAGATGGGGAGACGAGTTGCTCTGCAGGTTCGTTTCCTGTTCGCTGGGCGCACATGGCTCTCTGTGTGCTCCTCTGCCCTTCCCAGAGCAACCGGGGGGAGGAGAGAAGGGGTGCTTCACAGCATCCTTCCCACGACTCTGCGTCTCACCCTGCACTGGTCCGGGGAGATGATGTCACCCCCACTCTACACGGCCCACACACGGCGCTGGGGGAGGACGGAGCCTGGCCATCTCCCATGTCCCCTGGGTCCCCATCAAGACCCCGGAATTCGTCCCCCAGGTCCGCAGTTACTAGGGGATTTTCTCATCGACAAAACCGCTTCCTGGACCCACACGAGAGACGCCTTGCTCAATCATCGCCATCGTCACTCAGCGCCTGCTTAAACCCCGGCGTCCGCTCCAGACTGAGTGAGACTCCTCAGGAGTGTGTTCACTCCAGGCAGCCCCGCTCCTTGCCCTGGGATGCTTCTACGTCCTCAGGCCACGTGACCTGACAGCCGTCTCCACGACAGAACTCCCACAGGGGCCATCTCAACGCCCCTCCCACAGAGCACAAACCGCACAGAGCAAAACGCGAGGCCTGTCTCGGGGTGGGGGGGGGAGGGGCAGGAATGACGTGGCAACGCCCCGCCCCTGCGGAGGGGGTGAGCAGAACGCAGACGTGACAGCACCGTGGGGTTCAGCCCGAGCTCACCGGGAGGGCGACGGCAGAAGAGGACACAGACTCTGTCACAAAGGCCTGGTCCTGCCTCACCAGCAACGTGGCCTTGAGGATCGGGCCAGGGGCCATGGCCACAAACCGCCCTACAAGATACCCATTCTTATTCCCAATTCGCAGATGAGAAGACTGAGGACAGGGCACGGCTTCCCACAGGGTGGCCTCCGTTTGCCTGTCGTGGGAAATGGGGATGCCGGCCGCTGTCTCGCTGCGCCGTGGGAATGAAGTGTGACATCCAACCACAGAGCAGGCCCCGGGCATGGTTGCTCTCTCTAATTATTATTGTTAGTGTTTGTGAAGACAGGAGACCAGGAGGAGCACAGGTTTTCAAAAACACAGTTGTTGTGGGCAACCAGAAACAGCCGGCTCTGCAAGCCGGAGCGAACCCCCGGAACATCCCCTAAGCACGGGCATGACATCCGTGTGGTGCGGCTGCATCAGACACCGCCACGGTCATGCCTCGGCACACCTGCAGAGCGCGGGATCACTGGGCACCCTGGGTGCTGCTGGTGCTTGTCTGCGGCCTCTCTGAGTGCAGACTAAGCAGGAACCCAGCGATGGAGGCTTTAGGGAGAAGCGCTGTTTTCCGGCCGCTGAGTGTTCAGGCAGGTTTGGCCTCGGACACAGGAGGGCGGCTCCCGGCATGGGGTGGGGGTGGGGGGGGGCCTGGAAGCCTGGAGCTGGGCACCTCAGCTGCTCCTGGCGGGCTAAGGAGGGCCTGGATCCTCTTCCTGGGACGTGGGGAGCTGGAGCACGTGGAGGGGGACCACCTGTGCCACAGTCCCTTCTGGGGTCCACAGGAGGCCTGGCAAGGAGCGGGGATCGGAGGGGCTCGGGGAGGACTGGGCCCCTTGCTCCAGGTCCCGGGAACGCCTCAGGTTGGGCCAGAAGCATCAGAGTGAACTTCCACGGGGCTGAGCTTTCGAATGAAACCTGTGCACCTGTCTGTTTCAATCTCCTTTCTCTCGTCTCAGGAAGACTATTCCTCAGACGGTTCCTGTCATGATGGTGATGCGTCTGGAAAAACCCTCCTTCGTAATGTTTTACTTCTCCTGTGCTTAGACAATGTGGGGGCTCGTTTTTAAGAAAAAAAGAGAACGAAACTATGAATATAAAATTAGGCAGGAGCGTGACTATTTATGCAGAATGAGGAAAGATGTCAGCAAATCACCAGCACCTTGAAGACTTGGGTCCCTTGTTCTGAGATTTCATACGGACATGCACCATGTGCTGATCGAGACCTGCCCACCCCCTCACTCTCCCTCCTCCCCTCCCTGGCGAGCTTCCCTCCCCTCCCTACAGCTCTCTGCCCCAGGCGGAGGGACAGACCCTGGGCTGAAGCTTGGTCAGTTTCGTGGCCACTATGCCTGTGATTTGTGCAATTCACAACCCAGAAATGCCTGCTGGCCACCCCTTGCTGTCACCTTCAGGCCGAAGCGTTTAGCGCTCTCTGATGGACCCTCAGCCAGCGCCCGTGTGTGAGAGCGTCACACAGCAGCATATGCTCACTCCAGAACCATGTGGGGTGACCAACCCTCCCCCAGCGCCCCTTCACAGACTGGCTGGCTCCCCACCAGAGCCCTGCGGCTTGTCCAACAGGCCACAGGATGCTGACAATCCTTCCCCCCAACCCTCCGCCATTCATCCCAAGGGCATGTCTCCCATGTATCCATTTCTGCCCATCTGCCTCCTCTCCATCTCCACCTTGGAGCCCCGGAAGCCCGAGGGCAGCCTGGTG